CAACTGGAATTCCATCACCTCTGCTAGCTTTGTTTGTAGTGATGCTTTCTAAGGCCTACCTGACTTCACATTCCAGGATGTCTGGCTTTAGGTGAGTGATCACTTCATCGGGATTATCTGGGTCATGAAGATCTTTTTTGTACATGTGTATTCTTGCCACCTCTTAATATCTTCTGCTTCTGTTAGGTCCATACCACTTCTGTCCTTTATCGAGCACATCTTTGCATGAAATGTTCCCTTGGTATCTCTAATTTTCCTGTAGAGATCTCTAGTCTTTCCCATTCTTTTGTTTTTCTCTATTTCTTTGCACTGATTGCTGAGGAAGGCTTTCTTATCTCTCCTGGCTATTCTTTGGAACTCTGCATTCAAATGGGAATATCTTTCCTTTTCTCCTTTGCTTTTCACTTCACTTCTTTTCACAGCTATTTGCAAGGCCTCCTCAGACAGCCATTTTGCTTTTTTGCATTTCTTTTCCATGGGGATGGTGTTGATCTCTGTCTCCTGTACAATGTCACGAATCTCCGTCTATAGTTCATCAGGCACTCTGTCTATCAGATCTGGTCCCCTAAATCTATTTGTCACTTCCACTGTATAATCATAAGGGATTTGATTTAGGTCATACCTGAATGGTCTAGTGGTTTTCCCTACTTTCTTCAATTTAAGTCTGAATTTGGAAATAAGGAGTTCATGATCTGAGCCACAGTCAGCTCCCAGTCTTGTTTTTGCTGACTGTATAGAGCTTCTCCATCTTTGGCTGCAAAGAATATAATCAATCTGATTTCGATGTTGACCATCTGGTGATGTCCATGTGTAGAGTCTTCTCTTGTGTTGTTGGAAGACCGTGTTTGCTGTGACAGGTGCGTTGTCTTGGCAAAACCCTATTAGCCTTTGCCCTGCTTCATTCCGTACTCCAAGGCCAAATTTGCCTGTTACTCCAGGTGTTTTTTGACTCCCTACTTTTGCATTCCAGTCCCCTATAATGAAAAGGACATATTTTTGGGGTGTTGAGTTCTAAAAGGTCTTGTAGGTCTTCATAAAACCGTTCAACTGCAGTTTTTTCAGCGTTACTGGTTGGGGCATAGGCTTGGATTACCATGATACTGAATGGTTTGCCTTGGAAATGAACAGAGATCATTCTGTTGTTTTTGAGATTGCATCCAAGTACTGCATTTCAGACTCTTTTGTTGACCATGATGGCTACTCCATTTCTTCTAAGGGATTCCTGCCCACAGTAGTAGATATAATGGTCATCTGAGTTAAATTCACCCATTCCAGTCCATTTTAGTTTGCTGATTCCTAGAATGTCGATGTTCACTCTTGCCATCTCCTGTTTGACCACTTCTAATTTGCCTTGATTCATGGACCTAACATTCCAGGTTCCTATGCAGTATTGCTCTTTACAGCATCAGACCTTGCTTCTATCACCAGTCACATTCACAACTGGGTATTGTTTTTGCTTTGGTTCCATCCCTTCATTCTTTCTGGAGTTATTTCTCCACTGATCTCCAGTAGCATATTGGGCACCTACCGACCTGGGGAGTTCCTCTTTCAGTGTCCTATCATTTTGCCTTTTCATACTGTTCATGGGGTTCTCCAGCAAGAATACTGAAGTGGTTTGCCATTCCCTTCTCCAGTGGACCACATTTTTCAGACCTCTCCACCATGACCCAGCCGTCTTGGGTGGCCCCACATGGCATGGCTTAGTTTCACTGAGTCAGACAAGACTGTGGTCCTGTGATCAGACTGCCTCGTTTTCTGTGATTATGGTTTCAGTGTGTCTGCCCTCTGATGCCCTCTCACAACACCTATCGTCTTACTTAGGTTTCTCTTACCTAGGACGAGGGTTATCTCCTCATGGCCGCCACTCCTGACCTTGAACGTGGGGTAGCTCCTCTTGGCCCTCCTGAGCCCGCGCAGCCACTGCTCCTTGGACGAGGGGTTGCTCCTCTCGGCTATTAACAGCTATAGTATTCGTTGACGACTCGGGTTGATCCATCATGGTTGCGGCCGCTTACCCTGCTTTTCAGTCCCTGAGCCTTGTGGCATCTAGCTTAACCGAGGCCAAAAATATCACTGTGAAAAAGTGGAGCCCAAGGAAATACAAACTCCTAACAGCAGAGATGTTTGTGTTTTGTTTCCTGCTGCATTCTAGAATCTAGAACAGTTCATCCCCCATGACAGACACTCAGTATTTTCATTAATGAAAAGCCAGAGAGACCCCTCCTGACATATATGAGAAATCAATCCAAATTCACTTCTTATATCAAAACTTAATAATCTGCCACTGACTGGAGAAGCTGTTACTGTATGACTAACATATTAGAACTACCTGTACTATATTGTATATTTTTGAGTGAGATGAGTGATGAAAAATTATGGTTTTTACTTTTGAGAAGCCCAGATCCCAGTAATTTTGAAATTGGTATGCCTGTTACTAAAGTATGATATGACAGTATTATGGAGACATAACATTTCATGTATTTCCATCTTCTTAAAACCCTCTGAACACAGTAAGGAAAACCAGTGCTGAAGTACAAGTGCTGCTTCCCCTAGACACTGGTGCATCACCTAAGACACTTGGGCCGGCATCTGCCGGGCATTGCTAACAGATGGAAGACATTAATCATCTGCTTGGTGTTCCCACCTTGTCCATCCAGCTTCAAATATAACCGCACTGAGCTACATGAGTCAGCATCTGGTCCCTCCAAAAGTTAGTGCATCACTTCTAAAGCAAAAAGGAAAAAGTTCACACTTCTGAGCCCTGAATCATTGCCAGAAGTATCCGTGGCGCCCCAAGGTCTTTAGCTCCCTGGAGACTCCCTGAAGATCTTTAGCTCCCTGGATACCAAAGTAAAGACAGATCTGAAAGCTACAAAAAAAAAAAAAAAACAGGTGGGTGGTCATATACAGGACTGCACCCCCAAGCAATATAAATGGTATTTGTCCCACTGTGGATTCACTGCTTTGAAGGATCAAAATACAGAAGACAGCAACATTCAACATTTAAGATGGTTTTCTTAATAAAAAAATGCACTAAAAATTGTGAATAAATCAAACTTTTATTTTTCAGAAGCAAAAAGGACAAGTGGTGACTTGCCTGTGGAAAAGACACTAATATCAGGGTAATCAACTATCTATCTCATAGAGACAGCAAGCCTAAGAAAGACTCTGTTATCATACAGCTCTCAAAGGAAGTTCTATTAAATAAATCTCAGAACAATATGTTTTAACAAAAACCAACAAAACAAAAACATCGACAACAACAAAAAATTAAAAAGAATCCATGAAGTGGTATTTGAAGAAAGAAAAAGGAAAATCTGGAAGTCTTAATTTGAGAGTTCTCTATTAAAATCAAGGAGGCCCAAATCCTAAAAGAGAAAAAAAAAAAAACAACAACACATGTTAAAACACAATCTTTTAAAAGAATCCAATGAGGTTTTTATAGATGCACATTTTAATGCCTCAGTTGTTCAAGACATTTTTTCTTACACTGGGAGCACTTCTGTAAGTACTGCTGGAGATTATATAAATGACAATGCAGAGATGTGCCTTCTCAACGGGCCCTTCAAGTTTTAAATTTGGGTCTGGAATCTCAATTAAATGTTTTTATAACAGGCTGCAGAATATGGTATTGTTTTTTAAAATTATATTTGCTTACTTTTTACACATTATAACTTTAAAACGGTCTATATACTTTATTTTTTTTTTGTCCTGCCAGATAATCAGTATTTATTAATAAGCCATGTAATTGAGTCAAAGTGGTATGCATACAAAAACTGACCAACAGGATAATAGAATAAAGCATCTTGCCAGAGCCTAAATTTTTGTGTAAATATGTAAAACGGTCTATATACTTTAAAAAGAGAAATACCAACTTACATGTGAAAATAAAGTTATGTGAAATGACACAATCCTTCTCATAAAGTGGGAGTAACAATTTCCAAAATGAAAATACTTAATACAAAATGAAGTAGTTAGCGGGGGCTGGGGTGGGAAGTGGAGAACAACCAGTGGAAGGCACAGAAGGCCTAGGTTCTAGATTCAGTTTTGTACTGATTAGCTGTGTATCTTAGTCTCAGCTTCCTTAGATCTCAATTTCTTCCCTGGTAAGGAGAGGCAGATGGCTCTCTATGCTCTGTTTCAATTTCAAAACCCAAAGGCTCTTATACTTTATAAGGAAAGGTCTGAAAAATTTTTGGACAATGAGTTGAATAAGCTCCTCAGATCTTGACAGGAAGGGTCTGTCACTGTTCAATCTTCAGGACAGTAACTAGAAAACATATCCCATAATTTTATTGGGAGAAAAGAAAAAATCTACCTTAAGGGCAAAATTATACTTCATATCCTATTTATACACGAAACACAGAAAGTGAATGGTTAGTCTCTTCCAGGCCTCTAGAAGTTCTCTCTGAAACAGAGTCAACTGAAAATCCTAGGATTATGACTGTGCCAAAACATCCAGCCTGTGTTTCTGCCTTACTGAAAGCTGCTAGACAGTTCTAGGGTCGATTAATAGTTTTCGTGGGCAGGACCAAACTTCAGGTTAAAATAAGTACTTATAGTAGTTTCAGGGTTGAAACTCCATTAACTTTCAGGTTTAGGAAAGGAGAAGAATGGAATGAAGTTTAAAGATCATGCTGATCCTAAGAAGGATGGACAGTAGAAAAAATATGCTTTATTATCTATAACACATACTTTCATCATAACCATTGTATAAACCTTTGGGCTCTTTTTGCTTTGATGTTATTTTTTTCTTGTGAACTTTGTCCTTTAACTATATTCACTACAAAGAAGCAACATGAATTGTGAACTGCAAGAGCTATGTGCATATACAAAAATGCTTTATAAAAAGTTAAACCTGCATGTCCTGATAAGCAAAAATACAGGTTTACAACACTAGATGATCTCTTAAATCTCCCCAGGTTCTCAAATTCTCATAATTTTATACAGAAACGTAAGATTACATACACATATCACTTACTGTTTCTTTTAAACAGTATTCATGGATATAACTGTGTTTTCCTAAATGTCTCATTGGTAATACTCAGTCTTGTAAGTCTGGTTCCATAGTAATCTATAATGTAACTACTTCCATCTGAAGGTCCAACAATCTAGAAGAGAAAAGTTTGCAAATTACCCATTTTACAGAAGATACTTAAAAAATATTTTGAGTTTACTTCTCTCAGGTGTTAATAAAATTACTTCATAGCACCAGAAATACAACTTAAACCAACTCAAGCAAAAAAAGTAATTTAGTAGCTCATGCAGCTGAAAAGGGCACTGGGGAAGCTCACAGGATTAAGACAGCTGGGGGAACTAAGGCCTCAAGAACTGAAATGCCACACCACAGGAGGCCCTTGGTTTGGCCTCCCTGCCTTTATTCCACAGACACTGCTCCCAATTGGTTGCCAACTTCTAGATACATATCTTGGCAGTTTCCAATAGAATGTAAAATTTTCTTCCTCAGTGTATATACATCAATTTCAGGGAAGAACTTTGACAGATGTGCTTGGTTTTTATGCCTGTTGCTGAACAAATTACTGTATCCAAGGGAATAGGATTAATATTGGCCAAGCCAGGCTCCCTCTGGGAGATGATGTAATATGACTGACAGTCCTACCAGAACCACATGGAATGGAAAAGGAAGAAATAAACACACACACACATACACACACTCATCATAAGAGTCTTGTCCATTTAATCACATTTGTGACAATCTACGTAACATGATCTCTACAACTTATCCTGTAAGATAATAATCTTCAAACTGAAGCCTTAGGGGTACATAGGATTTACAAAGGTATATGCAGGCCCAGAAAGCTGCAAGGAATCCATTTTGAGATCCTTAATTCACATAAATACTCTTTGTGAAAATGATCCACCTGATATTAACAGTAGAATAAAAGCATCATGCTAGGTCCCAAGCCCACTTCCCTTTCCCTGTGGTCCTTTCTCCAACCTGATAACAGTAAAGCATACCTCCGCTATCAAAATACACTTGAGTCTCATAATGACATATTGCCTTGAGGTATAAAAATCTCTGATGTGTCAAAGAAGGGGATGATTCAAATACTGGAGTCAGGGATGTCTCTTTTAATCAAGAGTCCAAAAATACTCTCTGTCACTTGTTTAAAAGATGCATTCCTAGTAAAATTTGACTTTTTTTTTAGCCTATAAATGATTTGCTAATATCTGTAACAGGTTTATGCTATTTTGATCAAACTGTATATCAATAATTAAAGTGGATATTTTAAATTCTACGCTATTTATATTCTGTAGATACATCTTAAAATTGATGTAACAGTTTTATTTAAATAGGTCAATATTTGCAAACTACAAATGATATCCTTTGCAACTTTTTAAGCTTGGGATGGAAAACTGAAATATCAAGTTAAAACATGTGAGGATAGGGGTTTTCTTAAGAAAAAAATTCTTTTAGGGGTTATGCAACCAGAGTTTGAAGAACACTACTATAGAACATTCATCATTTTAAAGATAAATTTGGTTTTAAAGGCTATTCAACAAATACTTAATTCCTACAGTCCGGGCACCATGCTAGACGTTATACACAGAACAGTGAATAAGACAATCTGCCAATAGAGGGTTTATTCCAGTGAACTATAAATGTTAATATTCAAATAATACTAGATACCTTGCTAGGTACTGTCATGTATTTGAACTTCCTCCAAAGATCAAATTGGTTTGTCTTGACATTTATTAATGTGATGAATGAATTTAAATAAAAATTAAAACATTTTCAATAGCAAAGTCACAGAGGAAACTAGTATGTGTATTAAGCAAAGAAAGAAAAGAATGGGTGACTAGAATTTACAACATGGTTTGAGACTCTACAAAAGAAACAAAGAAAAAGGAAAGCCTTGCAAGTGGAAATAGGTTAAATCATGTGGTTAAAAACTGGCCTAACCTGGAATATGTGCGTAGATTGGAACAAGGCCTTTGCCCTATTATCTTTTTCTTCCTATGCCATCTCCTCTGACACTCTCACTTACTCCTGTCAAAAGAAAAAAAAAGATTTCAAAAGTTGAAAATAAGGAAAAAAAGATGGTTGGATGGCCTTTTACTATCATGCATTTCTAATAAGCCCACCCACAGCTCACTTGACTTTCTCAGGAAATATAACTATTTAACTAAAAATTGATTAGGGCCCAGATGTTTTATAGTCTTGGCAAGTTAGCAGTTAACACATAGAATGATATGATATTGTTTTGGTCTTCTGTTCCCCCTGTCCTGTAGATAAGTTAGCCCTAAAGATTACAGTTTTATTACCTGGTAATACATGGTCCAAATTTGTATATAATTTAGCAATCTTATTATAGCATTTCTTTCCCTTCAAAGTATGTAATTCTGGCTCCTCAACAACTGGTTCTATTGTGGGAGATCCTCTTTCCTCAGATTTGATCCAGCCTGGGCATGTAATCAATCACCAATGAGTTGATAATCTATGAGACAAGTTCAACGGGAGATTTATCTGCTTTTAAGAAGGTGTGTGTGAGAGGAAAAGGGTGTTTTCCACCTGTGAAAGTAATGATACAAGAAGTGATCCTAAGCAATGGAACTGAAGATAGCAAAGGGAAGGAAGGAAGATGGGAAGAAAGGAGGGAGAGAAGGAAGGAAAGGAGGGAATAAAGTATTTGGGTCTTTAAGTTCTAAATTAACAAATCTTAGAACTACCAAGTCTCCAGATTCTTGGTATAGAAGATGTACGGCCATTTGTTCACTGACAACAAAGTATGAAACCTAAAATTATGTTTATTTCTCTGCTAAGAAATAGCCTGAAGCCAAATTTTACTTCATCAAGTATTTCTGTTTGATAAGCTGGGGCAGATTTCTGAAATCTATGGGGAGAAGAAAGACCACTTAACAATTAATGGACCAATAGGTTGCTACAGGCCTTCATCTTCCAAGAGGGGAATCAGGAGGGCCACTATGCTGTGAAAAGCTATTCTGTACAAAGGGGTGTTAACTTATCTTGTGTGAGAAGCCCTGAAGCCACAAGAAAGCAACTTCATATCCTTCTATATGAGTTTCCTGTTGGCTACTGTAACAAATAACCATAAAGTCAGTGGATTAAAACAGTAGACATTTACTCTTACAGTTCTGGACCCCATAAGTCTAAAATCAAGGTATCAGTAAAGTCACATGCCCTGCAGAGACTCTGGGGCAGAACCCATGCTAAGGCACCCCTTGGCATTGCTGGCTTGTGGCCACATCACCCTGATCTCTTGGGGTGAAGGTCTTCACATCACCTTCTTTACTGTGTGTGTGTCTGTGTCTTTTCTACTGCCTCCTATAAGGACACTTGTCATTGGATTTAGGGCCCATCCAGATAATTTAAAATAACCTCTTCATATGAAGATACTTAAGTTAATCATATCTGCAGAGACCCTTTTTCCAAATAAGACAATATTCACAGGTTCCAGGATCTGACATAGGCATCTTTCATCTTATCACACCCCCACTCTATGAAGATTGCTGGTGGTGGCTTGGAGGAATTGGGTGAAATTTGATTTCTTCTTTCCTGTCATTTCTGACTGTTTTCAACCATGAAATTTTACTTGCAGCTTAAATGCAAAAAAATCTTTCAATTGTTTACTTAAAGGAGTAGGCTTTTCTATAGATGGAAAGTCTAGAGCAAGAAGAGTAAATCAGAAAACTCTAGAAGTTCACATTTAAGTCAAGAATGTTAAGCAGTGATCACTAAATTTCCTATTTTTCTGTTCTTAATCTTTCATCTCCACTATAATTCTCCATAATCCCAGTCATCCACCCATAGGTACCCACACAAATAATGGGCATATATTTAACTTGGTATATGACTTGGATATTTATTCTTGAAAAAAAATTTGATTTTCTTTGGATACCCATTTTTAATTATCCAAATGATACTTGTTGTAGATCTTGTTCAATTTCAAACAATTTTCACAGTACACTAAGATTTTAGGACATTTCCGTGGTAGCTGTATGTATAACAGGTAAGCGCTTGTAGCTGCTGCCTGGCGTTACATCCATTCTCCACATATAGGTTAACTCCAACTTCCTCCTACCACAGACAGTAGTACAACAGACAGAGTTGTCCCCTGTCCCCTGGTGGAGAGAAGTATGAACATTTGGGGATAAATGCCCAGAAGTACCTCTTATTTACACATTAGTTATTTGGGTGATTTTTGTGAATCACCTTTAGTGTCCTGGGCTCATTTAACTATTAAATTCCCCATTATCTTATTGACTTGCATATTCCACATATAAATTCCTACTGTTAGTGTCCCCAGTGGCTCAAGCAGTAAAGAATCCACCTGCAGTGCAGAAGACGTAGGAGACGTGGGTTTGACCCCTGGGTTGGGAAGAGCCCCTGAAGAAGGAAATGGCAACCCACTCCAGTATTCTTGCCTGGAGAATCCCATGAAAAAAGGAGCCTGGAGGGCTATAGTCCATAGTATTGCAAAGAGTCAGACATGACTGAGCAACTGAGCCCACATCCCCCACAGTGTTCTTTAACTCAGCCTATTAACTGTTATTTGGTCAGTCCACGGTATCCTTTTTAGAAATGATTAAAATTTCTTAATTTTAATGTATTAAATAATTTTTTTCTTTATGGTTTATGTTTTTTGGATCTTGTTTAAGAAGACAGGCCATCTAATGTCATGAAGATATTTTCTTCAATTAGCTTTATATAAAAGTTTATCTTCTCCTAGGTATTTGCCCTTAAAGAACTGAACAGGGGCTTAAACTGATACTTGTACACAAATATTCACTGCAGCATTATTCACAACAGCCAAAATGTGGAAACAACTCAAGTGTCCATCAACAGATGAACAGATAAAAGAAATGTGGTATATACGTACAATGGAACATTATTATTCAGCCATAAAAAGGAATGAAATTCTGATACATGCCACAATATCAATGAACCTTGAAAACATTGTGCAAAGTGAAATAAACCAGACATAAAAGGACAAATAGTGTATCATTCCACCTATATGAAATATCAAGAAAGCAAGCAAATTCTTTGGGATATAGTAGATTGGAGGTTACCAGTGACTGGGGGGTGGAGAAAAGAGGAGTTACTGCTTAATGGATGCAGAGTTTCTGT